CCAAGTGGCTGCAGTGTCTTCAGCTGTGCTGATCCGATGCCAGGAGCCTGGAGCCTCTTCTGGGTCTCCCATGTAGGTGCAGAGTCCCGAGGTTTTAGGCTATCCTTGACTGCTTTCCCAGGCCACAAGCAGGGAGCTGGATGGGAAGAGGGGCCGCAGGGATTAGAACCGGTGACCATATGGGATCCTGGGGCATGCAAGACAAAGACTTTAGCCATTAGACTATGGCACCAGGCCCCCCAGAATTTCATCACTCCTCCCACATGGGTCGCAGGACTTGGGTCATCTTCCAATGCTTTCCCAGGTACATTAGCAGGGAAATGGATCGTTAGCAAAGCATCTGGGGTTTGAACTGGTTCTCATTCAGGATGCTGGTACCACAGGCAGTAGCTCAACCCACTGAGATGGTGGCCCCATCTCAGATCATCTTAAAAGTGGCATGAGTGACTTTAGGGAGTTAAAGGTGTACAGCACATGGGTTGAGCAGTATGGACAGTATGTGCCATGCAGCCTTTCATCAGCATAAAGCTGTGTCTCAGGAAAGCCCTTGGCTGATGTCTTTAAGGCTGTCTTTTTCTGGAAAGGCTCTTCAAGCAGGTAACCCCGTCAGCCAGGCTAAGTGAAGAAAAGCTGGGTTACCTGATTGGTACAGGGATGCTACCTTTTTGAAGGAGTCCCCTCAGGGATGGATGTGGGATCTGCTCCTGTTCACAGGCAGTGGGGTATCAGTTTCTAGAGGTCCACACTGCAGGACATGGCCACAGCTATCCACCATTTTACTTTTGGGACTCTTAAAAGGATTCCAAGTAGGGGTGGGCAGTTCGCCTCACAGTTGGGATGCTAGCTGAGATGCCACGTGCCCTGTATCTGACTATCTGGATTTACTGCAGCTGCTGATGTAGACTGTGGGAAGTAGCAGGTAATGGCTCCAATATCAGGCTCCCTGTCACTCATACGGGAGCCCTGGATCGAGTCCTGACCCTGCTTTCAGCCAGCCTCATTCTACTCAGCCATTGTAGGCATTTGCAGCAGAACCAGTAGAGGGGGATGCATACTCTTTCTGAAATACAAGTTTTTATTTTTTTTTTTCACCAAATAGCCTGTTCAGGAGGCTGAGTGAACCCCAACAGAAGTCCAAAACAGTCCGCAGCAAGACACGTTGAAAACTGAACACAGCAATAACCCCAGGGGCAGCCAGAGAAAGCCGACACCTTAGGCATAGGGATAACCTTTTTCCATCTTTGTACTTTCAACCTACTTAATTTATACCTGAATGAGTTTCTTGTAGCTGCTGTATAGTTGGGAACATAGAAAACTATGCTAAGTGTCCTTCCACTGTCAAACATCATTTGGCAAACCCAAGAAGAGAAGGAAAGCTGTTGTACCTGTTCCTGTGTTTGCACACTTTTGCCCCTTCTGGATACTCCGGAGTTCCTTTGATGCACCCCCTGGTGAGCACTGTGTTAGGGCCTGCAGCTGTCTGCAGAGTGTTCCTGAAGGAGTCCTTTCCTGGGATGTGGGATGCTTTGTTACTGGCCTTTGCTTTCAGCACTGAACAACAGCAGGCCACGTGTGCTTCCCTCGGGCAAACCGTGGCTCTCACTTCCTGTGCCTCAGCAGCCGGCAGTGCTTTCCCAAAGAGGCCCGTGTGGAGGCGAAGCCACGTTCACAGGGAGTCCACAGGACAGCTCAGGAAATGCCTCTCTCCTCTTCCTTCGGGATGAGTTGGTGGCAGCAGTCTCAAGGGGGATGTGGTTGTGCTATAAATTTAGTTGTTTTGTTTCCTGAATGCTGTTTTGGACAATACTGGAGCAGTGTTTCCTAATGTTTGGTCAGAAGATGTTTTGTGGAAGCCTTGTTTGGAAATTACCTCCTATCTAATTAGTTTAAAAAGTGCTATGGATAAATCAGCATGCAGTTCTCAAAGAAAAAAAAAAAGGTTCAACTAGCCTACATGGAGACAGAAACAAACAAACAAAAAAAAAAAACAGAGAACTAAGAAAACAGGAAAAGCAGAAAGCAAACATAAGAAGGCAGACTTCAACCCTGACATGAATAATTACCAGTTAAAAGAGGTTTGCAGAAAAGATGACCAGACGTGACCTAACCGTTATCCACAGGAGACTTTTCAATTATAATGAAATAAGTAGGTTGAGAGGAACAAAGTGGTACATCATGCAAATATGGGATCACATAAAACCGGCTTAAAAGTATTTACTGGAAACAAAGAGGAGCATTAAATGCTAATAAAAGGGTAGAATCAGTCAGCGAGAAAGCAGCAATCCTAAATATAGCTGCAATACACAGCAGAACTGGAAATATGTAAAACAAAACTAAACTGAAAGAAGAAACAGATCTACAATCAGAGAGGAGATCTCAGCTTTCTCCCCATAAGTGATAAAACAGTTGGACGGAAAATCAGAAAGATGATGGAAGAAGTCGCCAGCACCGTTGCTAAGAAACATCTGATTGGCATTTATAGAACATTCCAGCACAGCTGAATATGCGTCCATCTCGAGCGCCTCTGGAACAGCATGCATAAGCTGCATGACAGGCCATAAACGAGCCAAGAAATATGAGTGAATGGAAACCATACCGAGTGTGTTCTGCGGCCACAGTGGACCCACATACCTGGGAGCTGAGCAGCACACTCCCAAATAACTCGCAGTTCAAAGAGGAAGTTGGAAAAACTACTTGGACCCACATGAAAAGGGGGCTATGTCAGGATTTGGGGAGGATGGTCTACAGAGCCAGTGTATACATTAGATTTTTCCAATTTAAATCTTTCCTTTTTTTTCTCTGACAGTCACTAATCTTTTTACTGTCATGACTTGGTAACTCATTTTTTTTTTCAAATTTAAATCTTCATTTTACTTTTATTTAAATTTTAAAGAAAATCTAAATAAACAGGGGAAAAAATACCATGTTAATAGATCCAAAGATTTAGGTTGTCAAGCCTCCCCAAACTGACATACAAGTTTAATGCTGTTTGCTATGAAAATTTAATTCCTGTGACTTTGCCAGTATTCTTGTAGTTATAAAAAGATGATTTTAATGTTGATATGGAAAGACCATGGGGAACAGTGGAAAACTAGACTTCAGCAAAGTGAACAGCAAAACACAGTTAAAAAGATGGAAAGATGAGCTATAGATAGAGGGAAGTATTTTGAAACCACATAATCTGAAAAATTGATTTAAAAATGTAACACTACGGGCCTGGTGTGGTAGCCTAGCGGCTGAAGTCTTTGCCTTGCACACACTGGGATCTGGTTTAATCCCAGAGGCCCCGCTTCCCATCCAGCTCTCTGCTTGTGGCCTGGGAAAGCAGTCGAGGATGGCCCAAAGCCTTGGGACCCTGAACCCGCGTGGGAGACCCGGAAGAGGCTTCTGGCGCCTGGCTTTGGATTGGCTCCTGGCTTCATTGCAGTCACTTGGGGAGTGAACCAGCAAATGGAAGATCTTTCTGTCTCTCCTTCTCTTTGTAAATCTGCCTTCCTATTACAAATAAATCTTAAAAATATATGTGTATAATAATGCTAATAGGTGGTGTTTGGCCTGGCAGTTAGGGTGCCAATCCCACATTGTAAGTGCCTGGATTGAAATCCCAACTCCAGCTTTTTAATATTGCAGACCAGGGAAGGTAGTAGGTGGTGGCCCGGGAACCTGGGTCCCTGCCACCCACTTGGAGAGCTGGGCCGAGTTCTTGACCCTTGGCTTTATCCTAGCACAATCCCAGCTATGGTGAATGTTTGAGAAGTGAACATATGGAATCTCTGTTTATCTCTCTCTGCCACTCCAATAAATAAAAATGTACTTTTAACGTGTAAATAGTGCCCTGGGCAATGTATTCATAGGATGCTTAGCCTGAGCACTTGAGATTCCTGCCACAAACTGCAAAATCCCTTGCCTTCAGCTGCTTGGTGAGTTCTTGCTCACAGCCCGGATTGCAGGTGTGCTGGCATCTAGCCTGTCTTTCTGGCAGAGAAAACAGTGTGGGGCTTATTATATCCTAAACAGACCTGGCTCTTGGGCGTGCCTCCTTTTTAAAGGCAGAGAGAGAAGGAGAAAGGGGGAGATCTTCCACCCACTGGCTTATTCCCCAAATGCCCACAGTAGCCAGGAAGGACTTGGCCCTGCTGAAGTCAAAATCCCCATCTCCCTGGCAGGTAGCAGAGGCCCAAGTCCTTGAACCAGCTTCCACCCGCTTCCTGGGGGTATGAATTAACAGGAAGCTGGATCGAAGCAGAATAGCCAGGACTCCCCAGGTACTGTGGGGTGGTATGTCCACATCCCAAGCAGGAACTTACTGACTGGGCCACATGCTCACCATAGGCCTGGCTGTTGATGAGGGAGTCATGTCATGTGCCCGTAGGGGGTTCTTTCTTGGCTTTCTCTAGTCTGTGGCTCATCCCCACATGGCATCTTACCAGTCAGGTCTGGGTTGCTGGGCTGAATACAGGAGAAAAACAGCTGACAGAGGGGAGCTTGCCTGCACTCTGGCCAGCTGCCCACCATCCCATGACTCGCGCCTGATGTGGTTGTGCTTCCAGGGTCTGGATCTCTGTCACCTTGTCAAGTTGCAGATGGCTCTCTGGCCCCGGGCACCGTCTTGCTCAATGAGACCCACCGTGTTGCTGGGCTCCATGCCATCGCAGGTGGCCCCAGCTCAGCAGGGGAGGAGAAGATGGCCACGGTTCACCAGCTCTGTGAGGCCTTGGCTTCTGTTTTCCTGAACATTAGAGCTAGACCCTGCTGCCACCCAGCTCCAGCCATGAGGGCACTGAGTGGGCCACAGAGGACCTGACACAGGGGACCGTGACCAGTGCCCCAGATATAGAGGAGGAGCTATGTGTTAGATGAGGGGGGCCATCGTGTTTGCCCACGTGTCCGTTCTGCATCCAGGGGCTTAGCAAAGAAGGAAGAAGTGGGGACGCGAGGCCAGACTGGCCATGGTGGGGTCAGTTGCCGTTGATCACTGACGCGCTCTGCTCTCGTTTCAGAGAAGCTGATGACCCCAGAGATGTTCTCAGAGATCCTCTGTGATGATCTGGACTTGAACCCGCTGACGTTCGTACCAGCCATCGCCTCTGCCATCAGACAGCAAATCGAATCCTACCCGACGGACAGCATCCTAGAGGACCAGTCAGATCAGCGTGTCATCATCAAGGTGGGCAGCTCCTGTCCCTTCTCTGGGGACCTCTGCGCGCTGGACTAGGGAAGTGGGGAGTGTCGTGGTGCTGTGCGGGTCCCCCAAGGCCCACGGAGACCTGTGCTGTGGGGTTGGAAGCCTTCACTCACAGCTCTCCTCTCCTCCTCTGGGGCAGTGGGCCTACTTGTCAGAGGAAGAGATCACACTCTGGGCAGGTTCAGGGGATGCCACTGTGGCACTGCCAGGCACTGAGCCAAGCCTGTGGGAGGGAGAGCAGGTGAAGGCAGCGGTGGGCACAGGAGGGATGCACACAGCACAGTGGGCAGCCTGTCACCATCTTTCCAGGAACACCCTAATGCAAAATGACGTCATCCACTCATCCTGCAGTGGACGCCTGGGTTGCTTCCATCTCTCCGCTGTTGTGAACAGTGCTGCCAGTGTGGCTGTGCACGTATCTGGGAGGAGGATTGCTGTGTCACATGATGACTCTTGGGGAACCCCCGGACCTCCCCCATTGCAGCTGCACCATTTTACCAACGGTGCACACGGCCTCTAGTTGGTCTGTCCATGTGCATGCACCTGCCCGTGCCCACACCCTGCAGAATCTGCATGCTCATCTGTGCACACATGAGCAGCAGGGAGGCACAGAGACAGGGCTCCCTTCTGTTGGTTCATCCCACCAAATGCCTGCAACAGGCAGGGCTAGGCCAGGCTGAAGTCGGGAACCAGGGATTCGGTTGAGGTCTGCTTTGTGGGTGTCAGGGACCCAATTGCTTAAAACATAACTACTGCCTTGCAGGGTGTGCACAAGCAGGAGCAGGGCATGACTGTGTCCCCAAGCACAGCCTCCCGGGCCCTAGCGGACAGCTCTGGGAGCTTCGCCGTGGGTGCCTTGTCTTGTGCTATAGCTGGGTTGAGAAAGCCAGGGTTACCATGGTTCCAAGTGGCTGGACTGGGCCGCAGGAGAGGCCCTTGGGAGTCTGACCACCCAGCTTCCCTGCCAGTTTCCTCAGAACTGAGCACCAATTTCTTCATTATCTTGAACGAGGCTCATGGGGTAGCAGGTTCAGATTCTGCCGGATTGGGGCCCCCGCCTGCTCCCCATGCACAAGCTTCCTTCATGGCTGATGACATACCCAGGATCCCCACCTGTGGGATGGCATCAGCTGGTAGCTGGGTGCATATTGTGCCCAGCTTGAGTTTTCTGCTGTACCGTCTGGCTCAGCAGCATTGGTGTTTTCCAATGCCGAGAGCTCACCAGACACAGCTGGTTCCAGGAAGCTTGTGCTGCTGGGGTCTGGGCTGTATTTCCCAGGGACCCTGTGGGATGTGACCCCAGGGACAGCATCCCATCTTATAGGTGAAAAACCAAATGTCATACTGAAGGCCCCCCTTATGAAGAGGGCTCTGAAGAACAGCTGGGTGTCCCCGTGATGTCATTCTTTTTTTTTTTCATTGTTATTTGATTTGAAACAGAGAGAGAGAAACAAAACAAAACACATGAACATATGAACCTGCTGGTTCACGCCTGCAACAGCCAGGGCTGGGCCAGGCAAAAGATAGGCATCTGGAACTCAGTCTGGTCTCCCATGTGGGTGGCAGGGAGCCAAGTACCTGAGCCATCACCTGCTGCCGCCAGGATACACAGTAACAGGAAACTAGATAAGAAGCGGAGGATGTGGGATGTGGGTGCCCCCAAGCAGTGATGGAAGCCTCTGCATCCAATGCCTGCCCTGTGACCTTGTTCTCTGGCGGCTCTGTCCTCACTGTGGTGGATACAGGACAATGGAGCCGTGGCAGCATCTGCCTCCGTGGAAAGTAGCACCTTGGGTAGGAGCAGCCTCTTGGCAACACCGTGACCAAATCCTAGGCCTGACTGCTGTGGCCTGTGGTCTCTTTGAGCAGCTGAGAACTTTGTGCTGCCAAGATGTGAGCCATCAGCCTCCATGGCCCTGGCCAGGCCCTTTCTGCGGGGAGCACACAGGTTTGTGGGGGACTGGTTGAGGCCTTGCTTCTGAGCCTGCCCACACTGCAGCCACTCCTCCTCATGCCCTCAGTGGCAGCCAGTGCCTCTCCTGCCCAGTGTTTCCCATAGAAGCCAAGCCCTTCCAACAGCCTGCGGGACCCCCAGCGTGGTCTCCAGCTCCCTTGCTGCTCTCACCTCCTCGCCTGATCTCCACCCTGGACTGCCTGGGTGCCAGGCCTCACTCCTCAGGCCCTCACACTGCTCTGTGTGAAGGGAACCACAGGCCAGCTCTCTGGGCACGTTCAGCCCTTCCTATGGCCTCCCGCCTGTAGAGTCAATGTCCCACTTCCTGGCCCTCCCTGGCTTCCCTTCCCCGGTCTCAGTGAAGTCTGCATGCCCTGTGCCCATTCCCACGCACCTCACTCAGCACCTGCCAGGATGCCTTGTGGAGTGTTTGTCTGCTTCCGCCTCTCCTGGTGTGCCCACAGGCTGTGTTTTTGAATAAAGGAATGCTCTAGTGACCACATGGCAGGGGATGGGCAGCACAACCCATGAGCCTAGGCAGAAAAGACTGTTGGGTGTCAGCTACCCGGGTGGGCCTGTTGGGTCCTGCCTAGGGTGTTCCCAGGGCCTGCCTGCTGCCGCACGTTCTTTCCTGGGCCCAGTGCCCATGTGGTTTACCCGGCATGCCATTCCAAGTGGGAAGAGGAAGCTTCTCCAAGTCAGTTCCAAAGACCCGGGCGAAGCTCCAAGTGTGAGCGTGCAGAGGGATGGAGGGGACCCCTGGGACCGCTGCACCCCAGTGTGTGCTGTGAACCCCACCCCTCAGCCTCTTCCCTGTGCCCTAGGCTCATGGCCACCACTCCTTGTTGCCTGCCTGAAGCAGAAGCCCCGGGGCTGTGCCAAGGATGTCTGGTTTGAGATGGAAAATGAGTGGACAAAGGGCCATGGCCATGCCGCAGTCCTGCACACTGTGAAGACAGCAGGGGTGGAGTGGAGGGGGTAGGTGGGCAAGTAGGGCCACGGTGAGGAGACTTGGAGGAAGCTGATTGTGCCCAGGTGAGGGGAAGAACATTCTTATAGTTGGAAACAGATCTAGAAGGCTCAGGAGCAGAGCGCTTCCTGACATGAGCCGGGTTGCAGGCCCTTGTTTCCCTGATGTAGGCAGAAATCCTGAGGAGTTTACCAAAAGCCGTGCCCAGTTCACCACGTTGCTGCCCACCTGCCACTCTGGCTCTCAACTACCTAGTGGTCCCATGCACCACCAGCAGCATGCTGTGGGCAGCGGTACATGGATCTGTTCCAGCTCACACAGCAGGCAGATGACCTAACAGATGGGATGCTGGGACCCCAAAGGGTCCGTCCCATGTGAGTCATGATTGTGGTTCAGCACAGGTACAGCTGACCAGAGAGTGAGGAATCGAGGTGGTTCCCCATAGGGGGTATGGGCATGGGTGGGAGCTGCTGGGGGCAGGCAGTGTCCCACCCAGGCCAGGGTGCTGGTTTCCCATGTGGCCACTTGCGACAATGCCATGAGTACACATGAACTGGGCCTCTGTGTCACCTGCTAACAGGAGTGTACTTGGAAGTGGGAGAGGAAGGGAGCTGGCCTATGCCGATACTGCTCTCCCCCTTGCATCTGGCCTGTCGCCTGACCAGATTGGCATAGATGGGGGCACCTGTAGGAACATGCTGGAGAAATGATTAGGGGAGGGATGTAGACAATGGCCTCAGATGGGAGTCCAGAGACGTCTGTGATGAGGAACACCTGAGCGGAGCCCTGCCTGGCAAAGTCACAGAACAATGCCAGACAGTAGGGGTGAAGGACAGGAAAGCCAGGCCTCACCCAGTATGGGGGCTGGGACTCCTGACGCATGACTGCCCAGCCCTAACCCAGAACCCCTCATAGCCGCCAGGAGGTCTGTGGAGCCAGCTCTGGGCAGATAGGAAGTTAGGACAAGGACCAGTCCTAGCTCAGCTCTTTCCACCTGCTTGCTGCCTCTCTGGGCTGTTCGCAGTGCTACCTGCTCTGACCCCAATTCTGGTCCCTTCTCTAGCTGAACATCCACGTGGGAAACATCTCCCTGGTGGACCAGTTTGAGTGGGACATGTCAGAGAAGGAGAACTCGCCGGAGAAGTTTGCCCTGAAGCTGTGCTCGGAGCTGGGGCTGGGCGGGGAGTTCGTCACCACCATTGCCTACAGTATCCGGGGACAGCTGAGCTGGCATCAGAAGACCTACGCCTTCAGGTAGGACCGGGCATGAGCCTTCACTCTTTCTCCCTGTCCTGCCAAACCACTTTGGGGACACCTCTTCAGGAGCAGTAACAGCTTGGGACTTTGCCAGGCTGGCTGTGGTCTCAGCGGGCTAAGGAGGTGGCGTTTGGAAGCAGCCACCTTGCACACATTCGGTGCCCAATGTGACCCTGAAGTCTTGTCCCAGGTGCGGTTCCTGAGCTCTTGCCCATACTGTCCAGCCAGGGGGCTCCCTCTGGTCGGTCTGCCTTCCACTTTAGACATGGACCTCCCCAGGGGCCAGGGACTCCACTAGCAGCCCCATTCTGCCAGAGCGGCCCCACCTTGGTTGTACAGGAACATCTGCTGTGACTGTGCCCCCCAGCACCCTGTCCTGAGTATCAGGAAGGGAGGCCATTTCCCCTGTTCACCACCGCCAGCATCAGGCAGGCTGTGTAGTCCAGGTGGGACCACCACACTCCAATCTAGAGCTCTTTGCTGCTGGGCATGAGGGTGGGCCATGGGGAGGCCTCCCCAGTCCAGCAGGAGGTGGGAGCTTGTGTTCCCTGAGGGCTGCACGGGCTGGAAGGCCTGTGGTTTGGACCCCTGGTTTCCAAGATCCTTTCTTATTGGGTGGGTGTAGTGCAGGATGCGTCCATCAGAAAGGGATGTTGGGAGTGCGTCTACCCTTCAGACTGTGCTCACGTCCGCCCTCCGGGGTGCCGCTGAGGCGCAAGGCCAGAGGTCTTTTTGGGGACAATGTGCGGAACTCGTTAGCGGGGTGCTCGGCTCTGTTGTTTCCCAGACAGGGCTTCCCGTAAATCTGAGCAAGGGAGCAGGAATGAGGGCACACCCACCAGCAGCTGCAGAGCCCCGGGCTTGGAAAGCAGCCGAGTCCCTCAGGGCTCACGGCTGCCCCACTGAGCTGGCACTTCCAGCACCTGCCACCTGTGACGACCCCTGCCAGCAGCTGTCCTGACCAGCTCCACATGGGCCAACCCAGAGAGCTGCGGTGGCCCACCTGTGGGTATACCTGGGCAGACTCGGGGCTGCCAGCCCCAAGAGCCTGTGGACAATGAGATCACACAGGTTCCCCCTGCCGCCTGAAGCTAGACACAGCGTGGTGACTTACAGCTAGCTCTGCAGCAGTCAGCCTTGCCAGTCAGGGCTCAGGAGGTGACAGCCCTGCAGCCACATAGCAGATTCTGCTGGCGTCCCTTCCCTCCACCAGCCCTTGGCAGGGTGCTCTCCGCTGTGACTTCCCGGTGACCCAGGCTGGCAGCCTAAATTCCTTGCCAAGCTCCCGGCTGTCTGCTGTTGGCTCCAGAGCAGGCTCGCCTTGAGAGTCTCCAGTGGTGGCAGGCCAGGACTTCCAGACAGACCCTGCCTTGATCTTGGCGACCCCTTAATGAACTCCAGCTGTGCGAGCTGGAAGCGGCACCAACCCTGCTCCCTGCTGTGGTCCCCAGCGCTGAGAGGACAGATTTCAGGTCCTTGCGATGAAAGGCGAGGCCATCCCTGACTACCGCTGCCAGGCAATAGAGGTGGCCCGGGAGCCCCTTCTCACCTCTGGAGGGACATCTGAGTCGTCCCTGTTGACCAGGTAATGTGGACTCTGTACACAGGTTCCTGCCAGTTTCGTGCACTGGAAGAGAACTGGCAGGGAAAGTCTGGGGACCCGAGGATCCAAGGCCAGGTCACACCAGACAGCACAGTCCAGACACAGAACTGGGGCTCCCTACAGTGAGGCAAGGCAGGACTGGGCCCTGAGTCCCCTGACCTTGGCCTGTGTCCTTATTGTGCCGCCCCACCCTGTGGGATGTAGGGTAAGGTCCTTCTTAACTGTCTGTGCAGGGAGACCATTGTCAGCCTTTCTCTGTATTCTGCAGGTCCTGAAGCAAAGGGACTGCTGAGCCCCAGGGCCAGGTCCACACAGCGGGACCAGGGCGTGGCACTTGCTGCCTCACGCCAATTCTGCATCTCTGTCACTCCGCCTTATGAGCGCTCTGAACTTGGACGCATGAGTTGTGTTTGTCTTACCCTAGCCAAGTGCCTGGCTGCCCCACCCTCCCCCCTTGGTGGCAGGTGCACTGGAGTGTGTGACTAGCACAGCGGCGACCGAAAGCTGCTGCTCACAGGGTGCGTGTGAGCAGAACCATAGTTCCCTCTTGTCAGGGAAATCAAGGCAGGAAGGAGGATGGGCAGAAATGGGGTATGATGACGGGGCATGATGGGCAAACCAGATGGGGGAGACTGATCAGGGGCTCCTTGAGGACAGCTAAACCAAAGCAGTACGCAGAGATGTCCTAAACCAGTGGAGTGGGGGCAGAGAAGCCTGCCAGGGCAAGCCTGTGCTGAGCCGAGCCAGTGATGGGGGCTCTTGCCCTTCCTGTGAGGAGAGGTAACCCAGCTGAGTTCCTGCCACCTCCTCCAGGCCAGCCCTGTGCCCTGGGTCAGGGAGGCAGCAGAGGAGACAGCTCCCCGACTGATAGAACAGACAGACACCAGTCCATGGTCCCAGGCCCATGGACACGTATGGGGCATTGTGGAAGTAGGGGTGAGGCTTGCCAGGGGCCTGGGGTGGGAAGGGCCAAAGGGTGCTAAGACAGGGCGGGCAGGTGCTCAGGGTAGGAAGATGGACATTGCCTGACCCAGGGAGAGTGGAAGTGGCCCAGCATCCGGGAGCTTGGCAGCTGGACCCCACTGGGGCCAGATGGTGTCCCTGTGATGGTCCACCATCAGGATCTGGTTCCAGGACACTGGACTGTGACGTCACAGGTGCCTCACAAAGCCCTGCCCTCCAGCCTTGACCTGAGGCTAGGTTTTATTTGTTTTTGTAACAGATTTCTTGAGCTCAAGTTCTCAGATCATGCAACACCCATCTAAAGCATGCCACTCTGGGGGCTGCCCTTGTGGCATAGCTGGTTAAGCCACTGCCTGTGTTGCTGGCACCCCACATAAGCATCGGTTTGGGTCCTGGCTGCTCCCTGCCAGTGCACCTAGAAAAGCAGTGGCAGAAGACCCAAGCACGTGGTCCCCTGCCACTCATGTGATGGAGCTTTAGCCTCGCTCAGCTCTGGTCATAGCAGGCACCTGGGAAGTGAACCAGTAGATGGAAGATCTCTTGTTGTCTTTTCCCTTCTAACTCTTTCACATAAATAGATTTTTAAAAATAAAAATGTAAAAAGTGTATTCCATTCTGTTGGAGTCATAGCCATCATCAGCAGTCAGTTTTAGGTTTTTTCATTTTAATTTATTTGAAAGTTCAGAGATAAGAGATCTTTCCACTGGTTCACTCCCCAAATGCCTGCAACAGTTAGACCAAAACTGGAGATGGACTCAGAAGCTGTAGACATTTCAGACTGCCGTGCTTTTAAGGAACCTCTGAATTCTAGCAGCAATCAGAACTGTCCTTTTTAGTGGCTGAATAGTATTCCACCATGTGGTTATTTCTGCCAGTTTGTCAGCTGACAGGCCTCGGGTTTGCTTGCACTTTGTTGGCTGCTGGAAATGCTGCTGCCGAGAGCATTCCTATGCAGGGTTTTGCTTAAACACCCGTTTCAGTTCCCTCAGGTACATGGCTAGGGGCAGAGCTGCTGGGTCAGAGGCTAACTCTGTGTTTGGATTTTTTGTTTTTAAGATTTATGTATTTATTTTGGAAGTCAGAATTATAGAGGGGTCTTCTCTCTGGTTCGCTCCTAGATGGTTGACCCAGGGCTGGATCAGGCCAAAGCCTGAGACACGTGCTTCCATGTGGGTCTTCCATGTGGGAGGCAGGGGCCCAGACACATGAGTCACCTTCCGTTGCTTTTCCAGGCCATTGGCAGGGAACTGGATCAGAAGTGGAGCAGCTGGGATATGAACTGATGCCCACGTAGGATGCTGGCATTACATACAGCAGCTTAACCCCTCTACGCCACAAAACCAGCTCCAGAATTTGTCTTTTCCTCTTTAAGATATATTTGAGGGCCCGGCATGGTAACCTAGTGGCTAAAGTCCTCACCTTGCACACACCAGGATCCCATATGGGCACCGGTTCATATCCTGGCTGCTCCACTTCCCATCCAGCTCCCTGCTTGTGGCCTGGGAAAGCAATGGAGGACGGCCCAAAGCCTTGGGACCCTGCACCCACATGGGAGACCCAGAAGGTCCTGGCTCCTGGATTTGGATCAGCTCAGCTCTGGCCTCTGCAGCCACTTGGGGTGTAAACCAGCAAATGGAAGATCTTCCTCTCTGTGTTATATAGCTTTCCAATTAAAAAAATATTAAATATATATATATAAAGTGATAGATGAGAGAGATCTATCTTCTACTGGTTTTCTCCTCATGCACCTGTAAGGCCAAAGACCGCGGCCCAGAGCTCCTCTGCCTGAGTGACAGGGACACCGGCCTTTGGGCCATCATCTGCTGCCTCCCAGCTGCACTCGCAGGCATCTTAAGTCAGAAGCAGAGCTCCCCCAGGACTTCCCAAGGTGCGGCTTAACCTACTGCACAACCACCACCCCCTTTCTCCTCTCGCCAACCCAACCTTGTAGCTACTCTCCACCACGTCCCATCCCCCCAGCGGGTGAGGTGTGCAGCCCTCTGGAACCCCATCACACTTGGCATTCAGGACCTGGGCAGTCCCAGCCACCTGAAGGGCCTACACTGGTACTCAAGAGCGGTTTTTCATTTGCATTTCCTTGACGATGGGTGATAGTGAGCTTCTTACTGCTTCCTGGACGCTGCTGGTAACTTCTCCGGAGAAAAGGGTCTTGGAATCCTTTGCCCCACTTTCACAGGGTTATTTGTCGGGAGCTGTGAGAGTTCCTTGTGAGCAAAGATTGTAGACATGGGGCCTTGCCAGGGGTGATTTGTAAATATCTGCTCACAGCCTACAGAGGCTGTCTTAGCGCTCTCTGACACGTTCAGAGCAGGACCGTGTTTGATTTTTGGTGTAACTTAGGTTACCTAGTGTCCGGTTTGCCAAGGGTGCATTCAGAGTGGGTTCACACTGTTGCCACCTCCAAGTCCTGCAGTCCCAGCCCTGTGTGCAAAGTGCTGCTGCTTCCCCACGCGCTGGACCTGGCCCCCAGTTGACCACGTTAGGCACAAGACCTGGCAAGCATCGATTGCAGACAGAAGGCCAGGGGTGTCCTGTTTTTCCTCCTTGGTTTCAGCGTTGGGCGGCCTTGGGCAGGTCACGTCCCCTTTAGAGCTCTGCCTTCTTCAGCGATCCAGAGAGTTCCCTTGCTTGGTCTATCACGAAAGGACAGTGATGCTGACTTGAAGCAGGCAGTCCCAGCAGGGGTCCTCTCCCAGTCCCCAGGACCGTCAGGACAGCACTTTGCCTGCACGGCCCCTCCTCCGCTCCTCACATACCCCTCCCCGCTCCAACCTGAGCAGACGCCTGCTGGCTCCAGGCCCATTCCTAGGCCTGGCTGGAGCCATTCTTATTTTAGAACAGCCCGCTGGAGTGGAATCTTCCCAGAGTCTAGGGGAGGTAAACAAAGGGGCCTATGGGGCCTGCTAGCCAGCTCTTGTGTAAACGCAGAGGAAAACATGTTTTGCTCCCCTTTGCCTGGACCCAGCTCGGCGCCTGCTCACATCTGCCCCCTTCTTCCTCCTGCTCCGCCCCCTCCCCCGGCTGGGCGCCCCCAAGGTGAGGAGTGATGTTTGGGGTCTGTGGCTGCACCATTCCTGGCTTGCCAAATGCAGCTGCCGGGGAGGGGTCAGCCCTGGGGGAGCCAGGGGTGGGGTGCTGCCCAGTCGCAGCCAGGCCTCTGAATCACCAGCACAAGCTCCAGCTTCCAGACACAGCCCTGGAGGCCGAGCTTCCGCAGGTCAGGCTGACAGATGTGAGGGACCCAGGGTAGGGATAGCTCCAGGCTACCTGCAGTGTCCCCCAACGTCCCAGGCCACAGGGAGCAGCACTGACCAAGCCAGCCTTGCCTGGCCAGCCAAGCTGGCATAGGCCCTTGGCTGCCAGTGCCTGCCAGCTAAGGCTGTTAGGAGCTGGGCTCTGCCCTCAGACCTGGTTGTCCAGCCAGCCCATGTGGTGACCTTGGCATCAGCTGCAGGGAGACCATGGGTAAAGACCTCACCCTCAACAGATGGCCACAGGGAGCCCCCACCCCTCCAGAGCTAATGGAGCATGTAGAACTGGGTGGCATTTCCCTGAGGAGATGAGCTGAGTGGACAGAGTCAGGCTGGGAGGCCTTCTCCCTGGCTGGGCTGTGTGGTTGGCACTAGAGTCGCCCTGCCTTACAGAGGCGGGACTGACCAGAGCCCTGGGGCCCAGCAGTGTCCGTAATGGCAGCCTCCTCCTCAAGCATCCTGTTCCTTAAAAGCCAAGCCCTGCAGTGGCAGTAGCTTAGCTCCACTTCTTCCTCCCCCAGCACCCCCAGACCCCCCTGGCCAGGGAGCGGTGCCCTGGCCACAGCCTGAAGTCTCAGACCTGGCAGCACGATATGGCTTCTGGGGGCCAGCCCCTCTTCTGGCCTGTGTTGTTCTTAGACTTGCCCTGGCCTGCAGGTTCCACCTCCAGCTGTGCTGCTGTGCCAGGGGGCACCCTACACGTGCTCACCGGGTGCAGAGTGGATTTAGCCAGGAAGCCAGGTACCCCTGATGCTGGAGAAGTTGACCCCTTTGTCCTCCAGTTCCCTGGACATTGAGGGACAGGAGCTGCCCTCATTGTCCCTATCAGCTATGCTGGAGCCTTGCCTTAGCTCGTGGCTGGCCCAGGGGGAGCGCAGGCGGGAGCCAAGCAGAGCCTATGCCTTCCCGCCATGTCTAGCTACTGGGTTCTGCCTGCTGAGAGGTGCAGGGAGATGACTGCTGGGTACTGCAATCATTCCCATCACTGCCTTCCCTCCCCCAGCGAGAACCCCCTGCCCACGGTGGAGATTGCCATCCGGAACACAGGCGACGCTGACCAGTGGTGCCCGCTGCTGGAGACCCTGACCGATGCCGAGATGGAGAAGAAGATCCGCGACCAGGACAGGAACACAAGGTACCACAGCCCCGGCCCTGCCCATGGGCACCCTGCTTCCTGGGCTGGGGCAGGTGCCTGCTTCCCCACGGCCCTCAGTCTCAAGTCAGACCAGGCCCCAGGGTTCCCAGAGAGATGGGCTCAGAGAGGGCTGGGGGTGTGTTCCACTAGGTGCCCACACCTGGCACCCTGGAGAGCCCGTGGGAGGGAGGGTGGCCACCCTGGGCTCACAGTGCTTCCCTTGGGCTCCCCCTGCAGGCGGATGCGGCGTCTGGCCAACACTGCCCCAGCATGGTGACCCTCCTGCCACCATCAGCTCCCGCGGAGCAGCAGCAAGGTGCAAGATCAAGATCGGACCACTCCCCTTCCTCTTCTGGCTGCAGGGGAGAGGTGGGGCTGGCCTGGTGTCACCCAAAGGAACTGGGCGGGGGCAGGGGGCCTCTGACTCACCCTCCCCCACCACACATTCCACTTGCTGAGCCCCAGTCCTGTCGCACCACCCTACCCCTTAGTCCCTACCCCGACGTCTGGGGTCAGGAAGAAGCCTTTTGGGTTGTGTTTTGTTTTTGTATAGGAGCCCCAGGCAGGGCTAACAATACTTTTCAAATAAAAGGTCATATTCAAGTTCTTCAAAACAGTACCATAAAAAGAGTAGGAGACAAGACCCCAGGGTGAGGCCTGAGCAAAGCCCAGGCCCATTCCTGCCTGGGCAAGCGGGGGTTCTGGGACTCCGCTGTTAGCCACCTCAGTACCCAACAGGGTCCCATCCCTGCTTCTCCCTGGGCATCCTTGTTTCCGTCCTACCACTGGAGGGCACCTGATCACAGAGGGGCGGTGAGGGGATGGAGAAAAAGCTGGGCTGGTGTGTCTGTCCTCCCCCAGCCCTCTGTCCAGCCTTTGGAAGGGGCCCCTGACTCTCCTGCTAGCTCTGGGCGGCCCCAGCTCTGCTCTGCCCAGGGAAGCTGCTGCTGTTTGGGGCCACTACTTGACCTTGTGGAGGCTGGGGTTCCTTGTAGCACTGTGGGGACAGCACCAGCCTGGGCACAGCAGGGCCTGACGATACGTGCTCTGGCCTTGCTCCCCGGGCAGCTCCTTCCTCCTGGGAGGGCTGGGAGGACGACGGCCCCTGCTGGCTCAGGGCTGGATGTGCCAGTTATTCTCCCAGGTCTCCACCCCCCGGCAAGAGTTTTTTAGTCCCCACGACCTTGTGGACGATATGGAAGCATCTGTGAGGGCAGCTCAGTGCCATTACCTGGCTGGCAAGTCCTTCCTTGCCAGGGCAGGCGTAGAACTGAGCAGGGCTTGGGACTGTGAGTGGCCAGCAGGCCTGGCTGTAAGAGCTGGGGGCTCCCAGGAGCCGACCCTGGAGCCCGTTGTTCTTGGGTCTCCTGTCACAGAGTGGAGTCACCGCAGTCCCACAGTGAGGGGACAGCCAGGCCTCCCAGGCCGGGGAAGTCTGCTCAGGGTATGATTGGGGGCCAGCTCTGTGTCCTTCCCCACCCCACCTGGTGGGATGGAGGGAAGCCCTGCCTGCCTTTTTTCCCCAGGCCCATGCATTCAGAGTACTGGCAGCCTGCATGCCAAAGGAAGCAGGTGCTCCATGAGGTTTCCCTGCAGAGCGAAGTCAGTCTGCAGCATCGGCAGGCCTGGAACACCCAGGAAGGCTGGTCAGGGTGCTGGATGCACATGCCACGGAAAAGAAGAGGGAGCTGTGAGCAGTGGTGGCAACAGGTCCCAGCTAAGCTGGCAAGGCCGGGGCTGTCTCCCTGTGCCAGTCACGGGACTTAGCAGGTGAAAAGTCAAGGCCCTGAGGTCACAAATGGGAAGACCCAGTCCCGGTCTTCCTCTGCACCTGACCCCATGGGGCCTCCTTCGCCAGCTGGACATGTGCCAGGGTTGCTGATGGGCACCAACGTGAAGGATCCATGATAGGCAGGGCATCTGCAGATGGAGTGCTTGGGAGCGCCCGGTCCTGCCCAGCCAGCTCACTTGGAGGCAGGAGTAGAGGCCCAGAGTGGGTAGGCTTGCCTGATGCTCCAGCCCTGTACTGCTGGGCTGGTGTAAGCCATGAGCTCTGAGTTCTGCTGAGCCCCATGGGCAGTGTTTCTGTTCTCCATGTCCCCTCCATCCTACCCTCTCCCGTGAGGCTCAGAGGGCAGGTGGAGCTGAGGCTGCAGGTCATTGTTTATTTGGGTGGGTTTGGCTCAAGCCGTTGCTCAGCTGCTGGCACCTGCCGGTGGGCTCACTGCTGCTGCGGGGGTGGAGCCTGTGGGGGTCCTGCCTGCTCCTCAGGGAGGGGCAGATAATTGGGGTCCTCCTCAGGGGTATCCAGTAGCAGTTTCCTGCAGGAAGGGGCCGACAGGTCTGCAATGGGGTAGGGAGCCCCTGGAGGCTCAGGAGGGGATGGGGAGGGGATGGGGCCGCATGTCTAACACTCACAGGAAGCCAGGCGTCAGCAGCAGCCGCTTGCCTCCTGGCTGGTTGGGAAAGACATCCTCCAGGAAGTAATAGATGTGGCCCACAGCGATCCCTGTGGGAGACAGAGAGCCTGGACCCACCTCTGCAGCAGGGAGCAGGCCCCAGAGAGGGATGGGCCTGGGAAGGCTGGGCAGCCCGCATGGGGCTGGGCGGGCAGGCAGGCTCTCACCAAGCAGGTCCACGAGGATGGAGTTGCCCAGCAGCATCGAGAAGCCCATGAGCGCCCAGGGCAGGAATGGCGCCTGGAAGGTGAGCAGGCCAAAGAAGTTGACCCTCACTTGTGGGCTGCGGCGGCTCCAGACGTACACCAGCATAGCAGTGAGCGCCTGGCCTAGGAAGAACAAGCTGCCCAGCAGTCCCAGCAGCTGGGCCTGAGTCAAGGTGTCGGTGGGGTGCAGGCCTTGCCCAGGCTCTGGACCCCAGACTTCCTGGGCAATCCTTGCCCCATTACCCACTACATCTGCCCTGCAGCCTAGCAACCCAGACTCAGGGCTCCCCTGGCTTATCCTGCACATCCGGACTCAGGCAGCCAGGCCGGTGGAGCCTGAGCTGGTGGGACACCTCTGCCCTGCTCCCGCGCTGGTGCCAGACCCCAAGGCTAACATGGGCCCCACCCAGAGGTGCCCAGAAGAAGGATACGGTCATAAGGAAGCCACCGAAGAGGAACATGAAGACAAAATCAGCCGTGCGGCCCCGGAAGGAGCCCTCCTCCAGCATGCGGCAGTAGCGGAACCTGCGGCAGCCGCGGTATAGGAAGAAGCGCCAGGGAGCACGACATGGAGGTCCCGGTGTCCCCGCTCCCGGCCGCCCCTAGCTGCCCCCCAGCCCGGGTCCGGGGCGGCGCAGGATACACGAAGAGCATGTGGAAGAAGAAGCTGAACCCCAGGGGTCCGAAGAAGAGGAAGTTGGTGACGAGCCTCCAGACCTGCGGGGAGGGGGGGGGGCAGGCGGTCAGGCAGGGTCAGTGTGGAGGGGTGGGAAGGCGACATGCAGGGGTGAGGCGGCCTCACCTGCAGCTTCCGGAACACGAGATGCGGGTTGAAGTAGAGCTGGAAGGGACTCAGGAGTTCCAGCTGCTGTAGAGCCAGGCGCATGTCAGGGGGCGTCGCGGGGTGACCCTCCCCACGTCCCCGGGTGACCCTCCCCACGTCCCCGGCCCGCCCACCCAGCGGGTCCGCTCACCACGGCGGCCGTGGTGAGGATGCAGGCTGCAGTGTAGGCCCGCGTCACCGCCGGCACCTGCAAGAACTCGGCTGTCAACCCCCGCCACGCCATTGAACCTCCTGGAGGCACACGTGGCCGGCCTGGAAGCGCGCTCTTTAACCGGCCGCCGAGCCCCGCCTCGCTGCTCTGCTCGGGCAATCCGCGCAGGACGTCCGGGCTGGAGGGCGGGTCGCTGGGCTCCTTAGCCAGTGGAAAGAAGATGAGGGAGATCGGGGGGCGGACGAAGGGAGTAGGCGGCCGAGGCTGGGGCCCAATGAGCGGGTCCCAGGGTAGAGCACGTGGCGGTTGTTGTGGCTGCGGTGGCGGCGCGGGAGAAGCGTGGCCAATGGCGAAGCCCCACGGCGTCCGCGGGACGGGGGCGGGACAAAGGATGGGAGGGGAGCCGGTAGGTAGTGGGTGCAGCAGGTGCACAGGCGGGGGCGGGGCAAAGGATGCGGAGTGGCGGCCGAGCTGCAGCAGGCGCAACTGGGGCAGCTGGGGCAGCAGGGACAGCAGGGGCCGCAGGGGCCGCAGGGGCCGCAGGGGCAGCTGGGGCAGCAGGGGCAGCAGGGGCAGCAGGGGCAGCTGGGGCAGCAGGGGCAGCTGGGGCAGTAGGGGCCGCAGGGGCAGCAGGGGCAGCAGGGGCCGCAGGGGCAGCAGGTGGGGGCGACCACTGAGGGTCGTGCGGGAAGACGACTCTGGCGGCCCAGGGGGGAAGGCCGGTCCTCTGTGCAGGTCGTGGGCACCTTTGACTCCTGACTTTGGGAACCTCTGGCTCTGGAAGCTGAAGGAAATGCCAGGCTGGAGAGGACCTCTTCCTGGCGGGAGAGAGGGCCTTCATTCATTCTGTTCATTCATTCGTTCAGCGATGGGGAGCCCTGTGCTCGGTGGTGTCGAGACCAAGGAGCCGCCAGATGCTGCCCCTTGCCGTCCATCGGGGCCACAGACCGGCCTGTGCTGATGGCAAGAGGTGCCAAGTGCAGGCTGGAATGGGTGTGGACAGGGGGCCTCCCCGGCCAGTGGTACATGGGTTGGTCTTGGGAGCCTCTGGGAGAGGCTGTTTGATTGCTGTGTTTTTTTTTTTTTTTGTTTTTGTTTTTTGTTTTGTTTTTAGTTAATACAAAGATTTGTTATTATTTGAAAGGCTGAAATACGGAGACAAGAAAACACAGAGGTCTTTCATCCATCAGCCCACTCCCCAAATGGCTGCAGCAGTTGGAGCTGAGCTGAATTGGTGCAAAACTAGGAGCCAGAAGCTTCTTCCAGGTCTCCCAGGCAGGTGCAGGGTCCCGAGGAATTAGGCCGTCCTCCACTGCTTCTCGGACCTCAAGCAGGGAGCTGGATGGGAAGTGGAGCTGCCGGGATTAGAACCAGCGCCTATATGGGATCCCTGTGCATTCAAGGCAAAGACCTTAGCTGCTAGGCCACTGCACTGGACCCAAAATGTTTTTAAATTATTTTATTTTTATTGGAAAGTCATATATAGAGAGAGGAGGAGAGACAGAGAGGAAGATCTTCATCCATTGATTCATTCCCCAAGTGGCTATAACAGCTGGAGCTGTGCCGATCTGAAGCCAGGAACCAGGAGCTTCTTGTGGGTCTTCCACGCGGGTGCAGGGTCCCAAGCCTTAGGGGCATCTTCAGCTGCCCTGGCCACAAGCAGGGAGCTGGGTAGAAAGCGGGGCTGATGGATGCGAACCGGCACCCATATGGGATCCTGGTGCATGCAAAGCAAGAACTTTAGCTGCTAGACTATTGCACCAGGCCCAAGTTTTTAAATTATTTTGGAAGAGCAACACAGAGCAGACAGAACTCCTGGCCACTGCCATGGCAGGAGCAGAAGCCAGGAGCTGAGGACTCAGTCCAAGCCTCCACTGAGGCAGGCCCGAAAATCCGTCTTTCAAGACTCAGTGCGATGGCTCAGTGGTGTAAGCACTGGGATCCCATATGGGACACAGAAGAGGCTCCTGGCTTCTGCCTCCTGGCTTTACAGTAGCCTGATTCTGGTGGTTGTGGTGGACGGAAGATATCTCTTTCTTTCTAATTTTGCCTTTCAGAGGAATAGGGAAATCTTTAGAGAAAGAGGGGGATCTACTCAGGCAGATTTCTCATTACTCTTTGGGGAGCAGGCAGAGAGAGCCCCACCACACACACACCTCAGCAAAGCTAGCCAGGGTCCTGCTGGAAAGGCAGTGGCCAGGCAGGCAGTGGGGTGGAAAGCCAGGGCCTGGGTCCAGGGCCTGCAGGTGCCAGGCCAGGCTGGGAGGTCGGGTTTCACTTAAAGACCCCAGCCTGCTCAGCCTCCACTACGCAGGGTCAGGCCGGGGCTGCCACGGGGAGGGGCTGTTTGTCTCCCCTTGGATTGGGGGCTCGATAAGGTTGGCGCCAGGGACCAGGGCTGAGACACATTCCTGGGAGGCCGGGGCTCAGGGTGGGGAGGGACGGGCACGTGGGGGTGCAGGCAGCAGCAGGGTGGGCCCCACAGTGGCTGCTCCAGCACCAGGACACCCCCAGAGGGGGAAACTGAGGCCCAGGTTCAGCCATTTGAGAGACATCAATCAGGTCCACCAATTTCCAGAGCCTGGGGGGACAGACCTGAGCACCCCAGATTCAGGCCTTAGCTCTCTGGCTCATTGATCCATAGTCATTCATCAACCAGGTTCTTTCTTTCTTTCTTTCTTCCTTCCTTCCTTTCTTTTTTAAAGATTTAGTCTTATTGGAAAGGCAGATCAAATTTATAGAGAGAAGACAGGAGGATCTTCTGTTCACTGATTCACTCCTCAAATGGCCACAACAGCTGCAGCTGAGCTGATCCAAAGCTAGGAGCCTCTTCTGGGTCTCCCACGCAGGTGCAGGATCCCAAGGCAGGTGCAGCTTTGGGCTGTCCTCCACTGCTTTCCCAGGCCACAAGCAGGGAGCTAGATGGGAAGTGGAGCAGCTGGGACATGAACCGGTGCTCATATGGGATCTCAGTATTTGTAATGTGAGGAGTTAACCACTGAGCCATTGTGCTGGGCCCATTCCTTGGTTTTCTTGCTTTGTTTTGTTGACTGGAAGGCAGGCAGTGGAAATACCCTCCCTTCAGGAAGCCTTCCCTGATTGCCTTAGAAAAGATCAGAGCATGAACTGCCTGGGCACTGGCTGGGCAGCTGCCTGCCCCTGTGCCCACTGTGGGTGCCCCCTTTGGCAGGCCCCCAGGGAGCGGGTGAGATTCCCCACCGGCTGGTGGGTAGGCTCTGCAGCAGCTCTGGCCAGCCTCTCCTGGGAGCAGCTGTGTCCTCTGTGGGCCCTTTCTGTCTGGGTCGTGCGGATATTTTTAGCATTGAATCCGGAAGCTCCACAGCAGCAGCTGCTCACAGCCCTGGTACAAGAGCAACAGAGCCGTGTGGAGGCCTAGGCCCCAAGTAGAACCTGGACCTGCCAGGACTCAGCTAGCCCTGGGTAGGGCAGGCAGGGGAGGGAGTCCAAGGGAGCAAGGAGGCAGAACAGGGCAGGGAGGAAAAGGGGTTGTGCCAAGGCCCTGAGGACACCTGGAGGGACAGCTCAAGACGGCAGGGAGGGGTGGGGGGGGGGGAGAAGGAGAGATGGCAGCATAGTGAGATAGGTGGATGCACAGACTCAGCAGAACTGGGTGCGCTGGGGCGTTCTGCCCCAAGGTTTCAGGCTTGGAGCAGTAGAGCGAGGCAGCAGTTTCTGCAGACTGAGCACAGAGGAAGCCAGTGAGTCCCCACTGTGGCCAGAACCACAGACCTCACAGCACTCAGTTCAGAGCGGGATGGCTCTGGCCCATGTCATACCTGCCACTGCTCCCCATGGCGGCCTGGGATCCCTGTGGCCCTTGGTGTCAGCTGCAGTGTGAGGCACATGGATGTGTGAAGACCAAGAATGGGCCCAGGACTGGATCTGCAGTAGGAGCTGCCTACTCCCTGTACTACATGCCTCGTTGTTCCTGTCAAGAAAATGGGCAGGTTAGAAAAGTCATCTGTCAACAACATGGAGGTTGGGCTCTGTTCTACCAAGGGGAGGGGGCACCGAGGACCTAAGGGTGTGGGGCCCTGCCTGCAAACTAATATGCCTCCACTCTCGACTCCCCCAGGCCAGGCTGCTCAGTGTTGGGGGTGGGGGCCCTGGTGAGGTCCACGCTGGACCAGGAGGAGCAGAAGGCGTGTTGGGCAGGGCCAGTGACTGTAGCTAAGGGTGGAAACAAGGAAGGACCCCGTGCTGCCTTTGGCCAAGGCATAGAGCGTCCCCCCCACCTTCTCCAAGGTGTAAGGAGGTGACAGCATCTCCCACTCTTACTGGACGAACCCAAATCTCAGCTCCACCTTGTGAGGAAGGTTAGTACTGCAGGGGTAAGCAGGCGGGGTGGGAGACCCTACATCCTACTGAGGTGGCTTTGGTCTTCGTCTTCCCTGCTGCCACACAGACCGCTAAGCAGTGCTCCCTGCTGGCTTTGCAGGGCTGGTGCAAGACAAGTGGGTTCAGGTCTCCCACACAGGTGCAGGATCCCAAGGCTTTGGTCGGTCCTCCACTGCTTTCCCAGGCCACAAGCAGGGAGCTGGATGGGAAGCAGGGCTGCCAGGTTTAGAAGTGATGCCCATATCGGATCCCGGTGTGCAAGGCGAGCACTTTAGGCCATTGTGCCGGGCCAGACAGGTCATGTTTGATTTGTGAGATTGTCGCTTGAAGATTTCCACATAACTAGTAATCTCTAATGGAGCCTCTGACTACACCTTGTGAGTGACCCAATAGATGGGAGACACGGGGCCGCTCTGGGCCCTGGCGCCTTCGAGCATGTTCCAGTCCTGCACAAGGCTTTTCTCCTTGGGCCTGAGCGTGGAGAGCTCCTCCTGAGGGAGAGTGGAAGAGGAACTGAACAGGTTTCACAGTGAGCTCGGGAACCAGTCCCCAGCTCCAGGGGCGCAGTTGGGCCAAGCGACAGGCAAACTTCTGATTGTGTGAAACTGCTAACAGCTCACTCTTCCTTCTTGTGGAGTCTTAGTTACATATAAAAACAACAAACTTGGTCCCAGTGTGGTAGCCTCGTGACTAAATTCTCACCTTGCAACTGCCAGGACCTCTTAAGGGGCACCAGTTCATGTCCTGGCAGCTCCACTTTCCATCCAGC